AAGATGCGACTAAGAAAATGTCAGGAAAAGCCTACTAGAACAGCTGAACTTTATTTGGGGTTAATCAGAGGCACTTTAAATGATGGCAGGTGTGTACTGACTCCTATTTAACATGAGTTTGAATGTGATTGCTTAATTCTGAACACAGCCACATCCCCAGTTATAAGAGGGTGTGCACACTTATGCAACCACATTATTTAGTTTTTTTTTTACTCGTCCTCCCTAAAAGATTTCAGTTTGTTTTTCAGATGAGTTGTACAGGTTATAGGTCACATTAAAGGTGGGAAAAGTTCTGAAATGATTTATCTCGGTCTCATTTTTTTACATCACCAGAAACCTGGCATTTTAACAGGGGTGTGTAGACTTTTTATATCCACTGTACTTGTTTGGACCCGTGTTCTGATCATTTTTGGCTCTTCATTGTGTTCGTAGGCAGCGCACATGTTTGGGTGGAAGTGCTTTGGAGTGAGGTCGAATCTTTTGCTGTTTGTTTTCACTGCAAAAAATGACATCCCAGCAAGTGAAAATAGTAAAATCTATCTAGTATTTCCTATTATAAGGTTACAATAAACCAAATATAAGATTATTTCTAGACATTTCTACTAATTTCAAGCTTTATATGTTCTTATTCTATTGGCAGATAATGTTGCTTCTTTCTAGAAATAAACGCTTAAAATTAGCAAAATTATCTGCCAATAGAACAAGATTATTTCCAGCTTGAAATTAGTAAAATGTGTTTAAAAATAAGTGTAATAATCTTGTAATAGGTTTACTGTAATCTTACAATAGGAAATACTAGATCAGATTTACTCTATTCAAGATATTTTCACTTGCTAAGATGTCATTTTTTGCAGTGTTGCTAAATTCCATCGGAATCACGTAATGCAGCATTATTTTAAATTGATTTCCTTGATTTTATTTTCTCTTTTCTCTCTTTCTTTCTCTCTCTCTCTCTAGTCTTTTTGAGGGAGATGCAGACTCCAGGTTTGCAGCAGCCCCTAGTCCCAGTAGCAGACACTTGTTGGGCTTCTCGTCAAAGATCAACAGCGAGGGAGCCAGCTTACATGATTCTCCGTCTTCTCACACTGGAAATAAGTAAGGGTATCCTGTGATACAGACATGCATGGTTGTTTGTGTTTATGTTCTCCCCTGTATCTTTGACTCATTTTCACTTGCCTTTTTGTCTTTCATGCCCTTTTCTTTCCCCTAGGTTGGAGGATTTAGAATCAATGCCAGAAGAGAAGGCTCTCATGGTGGTTAAAAGGGATCCTTTCTTCCTCAGAACTCCTCCTCCTCCCTGCCAGCCTCCTGTAAACAGGACCAAGTGCATAAAGTTAGTATTGAGTGTACTCGAACTGCTATGGTTTTCATCTACACTGTAAAAGTTTTTAGAAACCTGACCATCACACCTATATGTGCTTTCTGAACATCCCATTCCAGAGCTCAGGGCTCTGTGCAGGACACTCGAGTTCTTCCACTCCAACCTTCACACACCATGTCTTCATGGAGCTCTCTTTGTGCACAGGGGCATTGTCATGCTGGAACAGGTTTGGGCCTCTTAGTTCCAGTGAAGGGAAATTGTAATGCTACAGCAAACAAAGACATTCTGTACAATTGGGTGCTTTCGAATTTGTGGCAACAGTTTGGGGAAGAACCACATGTGGGTGTGACGGTCAGGTGTCCACATACTTTTGGCCATATAATGTATGTAGTTATTGTTATCAGTCTCAGGCATCCTAGAAAAATGTCATGCCTCAGTTACTTACAAGTGCACAATTAATTTAAACCACGTGTACTTTCAAGCTACTTCTTGACAAGTTAACATGAGCTTAGAGTCTACTCAGTCTAATGGAAGTTGGAAAACAGTAGATAAAATTATATAAAATGATTTTATATAATATATACACACACACAGACACACACACAGGCGCGCGAGTGCTCACACCCCAAGCACTTTATTAGGAACACCTGTACACCTACTCATTTATGCAATTATCTAATCAGCCAATCATGTGGCAGCAGTGCAGTGCATAAAATCATGCAGATACGGGCCAGAAGCTTTGGGTAATGTTGACATCAACCATCAGAATGGGGAAAAATGTGATCTCAGTGATTTTGACTGTGGCATGATTGTTGGGGCCAGATGGGCTGGTTTGAGTATTTCTATAACTGCTGATCTCCTGGGAATTTCATGCACAGCAGTGTCTAGAGTTTACTCAGAATGGTGCAATAAAGAACAAACATCCACTGAGCAGCAGTTCTGCGGACAGGAATGCCTTGTTGATGAGAGAAATCAACAGAGAATGGCCAGACTGGTTCGAGCTGAGAAAAAAGGCTCAGATAACCACTCTGTACAATTGTGGTGAGCAGAAAAGCTCTCTCAGAGTGCACAGCACTTCAAACCTTGAGGTGGAAGGGCTACAACAGCAGAAGACCACATCGGGTTCCGCTTTTGTCAGCTAAGGCTGCAGTGGGCACTGGATCACCAAAACTGGACAGTTGAAGACTGGAAAAACGTAGCCTGATCTGATGAATCTCGATTTCTGCTGAGGCTCACAGATGGTAGGGTCAGAATTTGGTGCCAATCCATGGACCCAACCTGCCTTGTGTCCACAGTCCAGGCTGGTGGAGGTGGTGTAATGGTGTGGGGAATGTTTTATTGGCACATTCGGCCCGTAAATGCCAATCAATCTCTTGAATGCCACAGCCTCTTTGAGTTTTGTTGCTGACCATGTGTATCCCTTCATGGCAATTTACCCATCTTCTAATGGCTACTTCCAGCATGATAATGCACCATGTCACAAAGCAGGATTCGTCTCAAACTGGTTTCATGAACATGACAATGAGATCAGTGTTCTTCAGTGGCCTTCCCAGTCACCGGATCTGAATCCAGTAGAACACCTCTGGGACATGGTAAAATGGGAGAATCGCAGTATGAAAATTCACCTGAAAAATCTGCAGGAATTACATGATGCAATCATGTCAACATGGACCAGAATCTCAAAGAATCTCAAATCTTTTGGAATCCATGCCACGAAGAATTGAGGCTGTTTTGAGAGCAAAGGGAGGCCCTACCCAGTATTAGTATGGTGTTCCTAATAAAGTGTTGTATATATGACCCGTCGAGGTATGGACTCCACAAGACCTCTTCCATTGCTGAATCTGGCACCAAGACGTTAGCAGCAGATACTTTAAGTCCTGTAAGTTGTGAGGTGGGGCCTCCATGGATCGGACTTGTTTGTCCAGCACATCCCACAGACCCTTGATCGGACTGAGATCTGGGGAATTTGGAGGCCAAGTCAACACCTTGAACTATTTTTCATGTTCCTCAAACCATTCCTGAACAATTTTTGCAGTAAGACAGGGCACATTATCCTGCTGAAAGAGGCCACTGCCGTTAGGGAATACCTTTGCCATGAAAGTGTATACTTGGTCTGCAACAATGTTTAGGTAGGTGGTACGCGTCAAAGTAACATCCACATGAATGCCAGGACCCAAGGTTTCCTAGCAGAACATTGTCCAGAGCATCACACCGCCGGCTTGTCTTTTTCCCATCGTGCATCCTGGTGCCATCTGTTCTCCAGGTAAGTGACGCACACGCACCCGGCCATCCACATGATGTAAAAGAAAATGTGATTCGTCAGACCAGGCCACTTTCTTCCATTGCTCCATGGTTCAGT